ACACACACACACACACACACACACACACACACACACACACACACACACACACGGTGTGGGGATGAGCGGGCATGAATGAACAAATAGCACTAGGAACAAGTTCCACGACACAAACTCTCCTTCTAGCATGAGGCCCTGGGTTCAGTTCTCAGGACCAAAAGACAGAAAAAAAAAAAAAGAAAGAAAGAAAGACAGGGAAGGAATGAATTAAAATGTAGTGTCCAATTTCTTCCTTCTTTTCTTTTTTTTAACCAAGATGGTCAAAATATTATTCTGTTCAGAAATGGGGATAAGCAGGAAAAACTGTAGGCCACCCTCATTAAACAGAGCAGCCTCTCATTCTGAATCCTTAAAATGTGTCTTCCCAACACTACTGTCACGTATACAGTGTAAGCATTCAGCCCATGAAAGGGTATGTATGACTCAGGCTTGTGAACAGATGAGCTCTATAAATACACAGCCCTGACTCTGAAGCTCCATGTTTTTAAGAATTTACTATCAGATGCAGTCTTAGGTATGAAAAAATTTAAGATCAAGTTTACACTTGAACAATAAATATGCAAAGAAAAACATACAGAAAATAAGCAACTAAGATGCATTCACCAAGGAAAACATACAGTTTAGATGGAAATACCAAAGTAATTCATATACGGGCTGTAACTGCAAGGCTGCTAAGACAAAAATGAATATTCCTTTAAACTAAGTGCAACTTAGACTCCAGATATAGTCCACACTTTTCAAGCAGGTCTAGCTGTACATTGAGCAGTAAGGAATCATAGCAAATAGCTTTATTTCCAAAGCAGTCTGCTCTCCTCACAGGCTAGATGTATAAAAATAGAAGAGAGGGCAAGTACTCACAAACATAAAACGACTTTTAAAAAGAAAAAAGGAGAAACCCAGGCCACCACACACGAGGTGTCTGTGTGTCTGTTTGGTGCTTGTGTTCAAAGAAAGGCAGCTTAAGAAGGCATGTGGGTCTGTGTTCATATGCAGCAGGTGCTGGGGTACTTACCGTGCCCGGCTCTCTGTCTGCTCCCGAGGTTACCAAGAAACGCACAGACACGCCCGTTCAGACACAGAGGCAAGAACAGAAATAAAAAAAAGGGGGGAATAATTAGAACACAGGCCCCAGGCAGTTTTAAAAATGGCTTTATTTATATAAGTCATTGCACATTCCTAATACAGTGATTTCCTGAAAATTACAATTTTTTGTAAACATAAGATTTACAATTTAACCATACACAAAGCCTAATTTTAATTCTTGACAGAATAAATTACTTTTCTTAAAAAAATTAGTCAAGTGCAATTTGCCCAATATTTAATGCATACTAGGATTAAAGCCTACAAAAGTAGTAACAGATGCAATTGTCAAGCCTTTCATTTAAACACATTCACTTTCAAATTTAACTTCTTATTTCGCCCCATTTAACAAACATCACTTTCTTTGAAAATTACCCAATTAAGCAGTTAACAGTTCTCCATAATATGGTACAGGCCACTGGCAATTAAAAAGGCAGTTACTAAGATGTCAAGATGCCTGCAGGCTAGCAAGATGGAAAAAACCAACAGCTGCCCAAGGCACACCTTGCAGAGTGGCAGGGTGAATTGAGTGTCAGTGGAAAGCTTTCCAACAGCTCCTGTTAGCTCACTGTTTGCTCTGTGTGTGGGGCTGGGGCTTTCCACAGCGAGGCACAGCTCTGCAGCACTGTCTGAGTATGAGAGCAAAGCCTAATCTGGCTTGCCCAGCCTCTCACCTCTGTGGCGCTCTGCATCATGGTGCTTCTTGTCATCTTTTATTGCCAAGTGAGACTGCCCACTCAGAGCACTTGACAGCGCGAGAAGGCTGGCACTGCCCCCAAGGGGCGGGATGCCAGGAGGCTGAAGTCCTGAAGGGTGAGGCGTGAGAGGTACGGGGGGTCCATGGCCATGAGAAAGATGCTGAGCTTGCAACTGCTGCTGCTGTTGGCAGTGGTTGGAGGAGGAGGTGGAGGAAGAGGAAGTGGAAGAAAAGTAAAAGCAAGAGGAGGAAGAAGGGGAAAAAGAGGAAGAGGAGAAGGAGAACAGGAGGAAGAAGAGGAAGAAGAAAAAAAGGAGGAGGAGAAGGAAGAGGTGGCAGTAATGGCAATAGAGAAACCATCCAGGTGGAAAGCATAAATAATAAAAGAAGAAAGAAAGAACCACAAGTTGGACATAGAGAAGGGAATGGAGACAGAGGTAGGAAAGAGGAAATGAAGTTAGTGCTTTCAACTCATCAAAAACTTTAGCCCCTCAGTACTCACTCCCAGCTAATCCCCAAATCTAACCCTAGAGTCCTACACCTGCCTCTACTTTTTGCTCTAACCAACCTGGACATGAAACATGATTATGTCTAGCTACTTTAAAAGATTCATGTGTGGATCTCATTTAGATCTCAGTGCCTTCAAGGGGAACATCAATGTGCCACTGAATTAAGTTGTACAGTTGTCCTGAGTTGACTTAAGTTAATCAGGGTACATAAGTTCCCCACAATGAAGTAACCACACTATTTATGATGTGAGTACATTTCACCAACATTAACTATCACAATGATGCCATGAATGAAAGCCTGAACTCAGAAAGCAAGAAGTGCTGGCATTTGGACACATTGAGATATATCCTTAACCCACCAAGCTCTCTGAGAACTGTAAGAAAGCAATGACTTCCTCATTTCTCAGAAGCAACTAAGTTCCATGGTACTGGGGAAGTTGCTGAGTTTTACTAGGGTGAGGGTAAGTGTTTGTGAGCCATACAACTGCTCCACCCTACCCTCTATAGGGAAGGGATGATGCTGGAAAGCAGGTTGACCACTGGAAGAAATTTCAGAGTCAACCTTTTTTAGCCATTCCTTTCATCCAAACTTCATTCCTGAAACGCAGCCACACATATCTCTATGTTACAGAACAAAGTGCTGAGACTGCGGTTGAAACCTTGAGAAACATTTTCTACTGACTGCAGAGATATAGAGGGGCCCAAGAGCCTACATTCTCAGATACCTCTTCTGCTGCCCATTCTGCCTCATCCATCTAATCCATTCCAGAAATTATAAACCTGTTCATAAGAAACCACACAATTGCTTTCAAGTATTACACTTAAAATCAGTAAATATATATGAAATGGCCCTGAAACATCTGGATGTATCTCAGCTGTCCAATACAGAATTCAGTTTTGATGAGACAGTAAAAACAGTTAAATCTCTATTCCTAAGGTGTATTGTGAGAAAGTTCTTAAGATCCTAATTCATGCTCATTTTTCGGGACTGAATTGCTTGTTTATTTACTGCCCATTCCAGGAACACACTGGACCTCTTCACAGCTGAGTATAGTAGCTTCCACCCATACCAGAAATTCATTTGTAATTCCATTTCAGTTGTGCTTCCTATCCTCAAGAGTAAACAAAAAGCAACATGTTAGGCATTGAAAATCAGTGATTTTTACAGTAGGTTTTCAACACCTTAAAAACCTTTAGGAGTCCACATTCATTTCAAAGTTCCACTATTTCCTAAGAGAATTAGTTTTAATTAGAGGGGTAAAAGGAAAGCAAGGGTGAGGTCCAAGCAGACACCATTAATAATATTCTTGGAAAGTTTTTATAAATTTCTCCACACTTGAGATCACAATCACAGTTTCTTTACATGTAAAAATCACCTTCCTGTCATCAGAAGACACTAATTCTTGCTCTGTCACCACCTAAGAGCTCGGCAACAGTGAGACATAAAACCGAAGAAGCTGGAAGCAGCAACACGGTCCGCTAGGCATGCTCATTAGCACTTAATTAAGAACAAGACACCTGCCATAGAAATGTGCTTGGAGGAGGGTGAAGAACAGGTCTGCCCTACTAGCAATTACTATCATTACGTGTGAGCACAAGCCACGTCCAGCTTCAGAGAAGCGGTGAAGCGGACACAAGCCTGCCTCGGGTCATTAGGCACAGCACTGATTAGAGGGAAAGAGACTGAACAGAGCGGAACGTACAGCCACAGCATGATACCCTTCCTACCCCTCCACAAACCTCCAAGATGGAACCACTGTAAGCATCTCAGAGACAGGATTTTAGTTGGGCAGCATATCTGTGTTAGGCAAAATGTATCTAGGTACCCACACCGTAAAGATGTGCCCCCCCCAAAAAAAAACAATTCCAAGGTAACGTTCATAAGAAAGAAAGAAAAAAACAAACACTAGAAAGCAGAGTATAATACACTACTGAAAAGAGGGCTGAGCTTTATATAACATGAATGTTGTCACAGCCGTGAAATAACTATAAGTGTTTAAAGTGAAGAGTTGAGGTCATGACTATCTATCAGTGTGAATATTCAACAGACTAACTGACCCAGAGAGCTTCTATTTCTACCCTGACCTGTTTTCTCCAAGCCCTGCAAAAACTGCTGTCACCTAAAGGTAAGTAACTGAGCTCAGCCATCCTTGGTTCAGAAAACTTGAAAGCCTTTTTGCTTTAAACCAAATTATTTTTTATAAATAAAATTATGTAATTTTTAAAGCAGAATATTATGTAATATGAAGTAATGAAGTGGAGATATGAAGAGATGGGTTACAGCACGTAGATGCTCGAGACTGTAGGAAACTTGAGCGTATGCCTCCCATTCTGGCTCCTGAGCCAAGGTAATTCATTCATGTTTATTAACCCAGCAGAGGCTACAACTCACCTAAGGGAGAGTGCTTAGGCGGGGGCTCAAAGCTAAGAGTTATGAGTCAGGGCTGAGAGCCATGAACACAAAAACCCTCTCAGCTTCCTAAAAACAAGGTTAAGTTTACATTCATAGTGCAAGGAAAAAAGAAAGAAATCTCCTCCAAAGAGAACTGTGTTTTTCTTTCAGCGCTACCAGGATGAATGCTTTTGAGATCACACAATCCATGTCCTCAATCACAAGTCCACTTTTACTATGGAGCCCAAAGGCAGTGACAAATACAGCGCTGTTCTTAAGACTTCATGAACACAGCTTCTTTCAACGCTTCTCAATGCTTCTTCCTATATCCCTGCTCTCTTTCCAGGAGTTTTGAAAAAAAGAGAATCAAGTTCCCAGACACAGCTTTGGCCTTTCTTCCAAAAGTAGATACTATATTAAGATAAAACAGTTTATTGTAAATAGAGGCCTACCATCAGAATAATTAACTTTGGAGGGGCAGCCTACACCTTATTCTATCTATTAGTAATGGAACATTTTCTCTCCACAAAGTATCCTGAGATAATCTGGTACATATCACCCTTTCCCACCATAAAAAGCAGCAACATCATTTAAAAATGTGTCTTAGGTCAAATACAATACTGACATTGCTAGACAGACAAACAATAGTTCTATCATTTAGAAAAAATTTATGCACCTGCCCTCTACAGACCCTAATGTCATCTGTCACTTGTTTTCAACATGACAGCAAGAATGGGATAATTCAAACTCCATTCGAGGCATTAGGATTATTTAAAAATTAGGATTTTAAGTTAATGCTTACAGGTTTATAGTACATAGAGACTCAGGAAAAATAGTGTGTACAGCTGTCATTTTAAAGCCTGAGGTAAGGATCAATGATAGAGGAAAGCCTGACATGCTCATACCTATTCATTCAACTTCCAGCAGTGCAAGCAGATACAAGATATTTTTGAAGAGCACTATTTTATCAATATAGGATGTTCCCCAGGTTATCAACTGAGACCAAATAGCTCTCAGACAGAGCAACTTGACAGGGACACCTGGACAAAGGGGAGTCAAATGTTAGTAGGATCTTGTGTCTGAAGGAAGATGATAACCTTCAATGCACAGTATAGCTCTCCACCAGACAAATCAGGGAGGAGAAAAATGCCACCCAATGCTGGAAAAAACTGGTAACAGCTGGATTCCACCCACTAACTCTAAAGTGATCCGGCAAACTGCTCTTTAAAACATAATGCTTTTCAATAATCAGAAACTTAACTGTCATCCCCATCCAAGTCCCCTGTCACATCTCAAAAACCAAAAATTGGGTAAAGGCAACTATAAGCAAGCCTGTTGACCTAAGTTCAATCCTAAGAATCAATGTAAAGGGGGAAGGAAAAAAAGCAACACTACAAAAAGTTATCTTACCTCCAGTGGAACAGTAAAGCCACTGCTGCATGCATGTACACACATGTGCACACACACACACACACACACGCACAGATGTTCTAAGCACACAACAGCCAGGGCACATTCTCAGCATCTGGCAGGCTGGGGCAAAAGAATATTGATGAAAACATGTGCTACACAGGAAGACCTGTCTCAAAATAAAATGCCCAATAAACAAACAAGGGGCTGACAACATAGCTTAAATGGATCACAAGAACCACATAAAATCTGATGTGGTGCTACTTATCACAGCACGTGAGAAGACAGAATGGTCAGATGTTTAAGTTTATTCTTTACAAGATAGTGAGTTCTATGCCAGACTTGGTTACAAAACAACAACAGAAATAAATTTTTGGAAGAAAACCTGCTTTCTAAAGCTGATCTTACTAACAACTTGAAAATTGAAATAAAGAAAGGAAGAAAAAAAGGGCATTGTAAAAAGGGTATCCTGAAATTTCCATGGAGTGTCCTGATCCCTAAGAGAAAGTCATGTAAAGTGCAGATCTGCTCTCACTGAAAGAAGTGGGGATAGGCTGAGAGATGAAAGCATCCTCCAAACCCTGAATTAATGATACTAAAAACCCACACAGAATAAAGTAGCCTTACCCACATCAAGCAACTGCATGTTATTGAATCTACATTATAATGAATCTGGCTGTTTTGCTGGCATTTGGAACTATCATGGAGTGGAATGGTAACTGTCATTTTTGTTCTAAATCACAAGTATAACGGAGTCCATCACTACAGAGCTGCCCAGAAAGACACAAACTGTGGATGCAAAACCCCATGGCTCCAGCAACCAAATTCCAAAACTTTAACACATTTCACAAACCCAGGAAAAGTCATGTTA